GACCCTCCGGATCGGCACGTGCCCCGGCACACGGCGCTGGCGAGGGCATGTGTCGATGTCGGCCGGACCCTCTGCCCCAGCTGCCGGATCAGTGCGTGCTCCGGCACGCTCTGCTCATTCCCAATCTCCTCCCAGGAGGAGCGGGACAGGCAAAGCAAGCCCTCTGCTCGTTCCCTATGGCAAGGTAAACAGATGCTCACTCCACTTTCCAAAGGAGCAACCTCCCTGCCTTCTTCCCTCCCTGCTTGTCTTGGTTTCTCTTGCTCCATCTGCTGTTGTTTCTCTGTCTTGCTCGCAGCTTCCCTACCGCTCCGCAGGTGCCACCGCTGGCATGACGGAGTTCAGGACACCCATTCAGTGTTCCCACATGCCAGGGGCTAGGATCACTCTCACCTTTTCCAGTCCACTCTGGAGTGTGTTGCCACAATCTTTCAGCAGGCCCATAAAAGCCTGATACAGCTGTTAGTTCTCTGTCTTAGCTTGTTATCTGCCCAGTTTGTGCTGGGACTTGCTGGTCCCAGTCTCATTCCAACCAGCGTACGACAGCCTTGCTGAGACAGAAACAAGAGATATTCACAAACAGCAGTTCTAGTTTCCACCTAAATTCTGTCTGCTCCTCTAATACCTGTGCCATTCCCATGAGCTCTTGCCTTCAATTAAAAGTTTATAACTTCTTCCTTCAGTGGTCTCTCCATAGTTTGGCCTTTCACAGCATCAATACCCCACTCTCTTTCTTGTGAGACAAGAGAGTTGCTCTGAACAAGAGAGAGTTGCTTCTTCAGAGCAACTATCTTCATGGCCCGTGTTTGCAGCAGTTACAGCACCAAGGTGAGTCCCCAGAGAGAGCGAGGTGCCAGCCCAGTAAGTGATGTCCAGTCCCTGGGCCTGTCAGGATGTCAGCACACCTTGCTAGATAGCATTGCCAACATCTCAGAGTCGCTTTCCCTTTCTCCATTCTGGCCCCAATTCAAGGATACATTTGAGTTCCAGGTGCTTGGGAGTGAAGGGGAGGGGGCAGGGACATCCCAGCTGTATTTTGTTGCAGCTGCTTGACCAATAACTTAATAGAGAAAGTTTTCATTGCTTTAAAAAGCAACTTGCAACCAGACTATGAGAACTGCTCTCTCATCAATGTAGAAACACAGGATCCCTGGTTCAGCTGGTGTATACGGACAGTGATGTTCGGGAAGCCAAGCAGGTGTCCCTGCACGTTGCTGAATCAGGACCCCGTTGCATCCTCTGCTTTGCTATTATTTCTTAACTTGAGCAAGTGTTTCCTTGAGCTGCTGGAGAGTTAGTTACCAAAATTCACCTCTGTCAGCTGAGCTTTCAGCACCAAAGGCAGTGCAGGGTTATACAGTCTTCTCCTGGCCCCAACTTTGGGCAAGGTTTTTCTGCTCAGTCACCAGGAAGTGCCCTGCTGCCAGTGAACATTTTATCCCTTCTAGCTGTTTGAAAATGCAGTGTGGGGCTTCACTGCTCAGTGTCTCTCCAGCACCGAGCATTCTAGCTCAACCCCACAGAGCTGAGCTGGAATCCCATTTCCCAGGTTAGGAGGCTGCCCAGGTGCTGTGGTGAACCCTTCCCGAGCCTCACAAGCTGGCAGTGATAGTTTGAAACAACTGGGAAAGCCAGATCTAGACTGGGAAGGAGATTGGCTCAGAGTGCACAGCAAGATCAAAATGAAGGAGGAAACATCACCAGGGAGAAGAGGGAAGGAGGAGGAAAATGAGAAGTGGTCTGCAAGAGATGAGAAAGAAAACGAAGACAGCTGGTGTGTTACTGTCACAAAGTCTTTGCCAGGAGCAACCCACTGGGAGCTTCCAGCCTTGCGGCAGAAACACAGCAGCTAACGGAAGTGTCAGACCTGACGCAGAATCTCTTCCTTGCAGACATCCCCCCGAAGAGGGCCGTGTTTTACGGCCCCAGCTCAGAGCCCCCGCTGAGCCCGGGGCGTCACGGAAGGTGCCACGCAGACACTGAGCAGGGCCGATATCCCGAAACGCCCCCGGACAGGGGCTGCGGAGGGAACAGACGCAAGGCTGTGGCCGC